TTTTGATTCGAGCCAGTCTATGCAAAAAAGACGGTCATAAGTAGTGAATGACACAACAGACGACACGGGCTGCCTGTTTGGGTCAAGTTATGTTCCTCTTCACCGACAGCCATAAACCAAGTTGTACAGCGTGTCCTGTCGGAATCACCGGCGGCCCACCAGTATTCGCCTCCGTAAGTCTATCTTGCGTCTATTTTCCACCACCACTCAGTCTACCGCCGTCTTGAGCGCCTCGATAAGTGGACGTGGGAAATCTTATTATTCTTTTTTTCAACCGCCTTATATTTGCGAAAATTCCCACTAAAAATTTCAGAAGATGAATTGGCTAAGATCGATAGGTTCTCGTCGCTCCTTTACATTTACATGGTAATTAACTAAATAAACTATGGGGGTTAATATAAAAATAGTGCGGTTGTCAGGGGAAGTGGGGAGGGGATCAGGATCCCCTGACAACAACACTATTTTTTTCTACCAAACCACATAGTTTATGTAGTTAGTTACCCTGTAAATATAAAAGAGCGATAAGAATTATTCGAAAACAAACGTATCTTTGCCCATTTATCTTCTGAAACGCCTTTTAGCTTTAAGTTCCGAAAAAAGAAAGGTTTAAACTTTGAGTAAAGCCTTTAGGACAAAATAATGTAAACTAGGTCTGACAGTTGACCTGAATATTTGAGTTTAAATACATCGAATACTGCGGAATAAATGCGTAACATGCATAAGCTGCACCATGCAGCTCCACAATATCGGTGATGCACGCGTGTCCGGGCTTTCAGCTAGTAACTATGCTGTCAGTGTGGTAAATTATTCCATATTCGTAGGCTACTGGCTGTCTGTCGACAGCTTGTGAAGGTGGTGTTGGCATTCCACAGTAGTTAGTGGATTTCAACTCAAATACTCGTGTCATCCTTCGGACCTGGCCTTAAAAGCCTCGTTCTGAAGAAGTTGATTCGAAATCGCGTACTAATTTCCTCGGAAAGTAAACAAAGCAAAATCGAAACTGTAGTTTCTGGACCCAAAACTCCTCAGATTCACAAAGCAGTTGCCGTCACCATCGTCATTTAGGATGGTGAGTATCGTTATTATTATTACGATGATAATCACGATGATGGTGATGGCGATGGTAGTGGTGGTCATCACGAAGAGGAAGAAGAAGAAGAAGAAGAAGAAGAAGAAGAAGAAGAGTATGCTAACGGTGACGTCAAAATCAACAACCATGATATTTTATAAAATGCCCGTGTTATTTATATTAATAGAAGTGCAATATTAGGTAAGGATAGGTTACTTAAGCCCCTTTAATTTAAAATACATAACCTGGCCCGGTTTAGCTTATTATTTCATTGTAAATAGAAGCCACCCTCTTTGTGTTAACTGCTACATTTTATATGACGGCATGCAAAAGTTGTGCTTTCGTTAGTAAAATCGCTTTTTTATTGAGAGTTGTTTTTAAGATCAATCAAGTTTGTTGCTATTTATAGGCCGTAACTGTCGTAGAAAGTTACTTCTTTTTTCTGCTTGTTTGCACACATTCTGTTGCTTGTCCATGGTGAGGCTTCACCCTTCAACCTCCTATTACCCTCATTCTTGTTGTAAACGATCCCCGTGTTATTGGTGGCTAAAGAGGCTTAGATAACCTATCGCTATTTAATGTTATTAATATGAGCAATCACATTATTCCTGCAAGTAGTATTAATTACGGAGTAAAAATACGAAGTAACGATGGGCTTTGGTTATAACTGATTCAAACTATTGGTACCTGTTCTGTCTCTTTTAAGTGTCGGTTATGAGACAGATAGCGGGCCGTCGTTTTTTAAATGGTACAACTATTTCCAACCACCCATTTAACATTTGTTCAAATAACGCCTTTCTGTACTTTGGGCTTTCACTCACTGTTGTTACTCTTAGAGCATAGAACTGACCTTCTGAGCCACTAGAAATCCATCCGAATTGCTCTGATACCCGATCTCCAGACTACTGTCTTTTGTCCTACTCAGGAATAACGGTAAATTATTCTCCATGAAAATATTTGAGTACAATAATAAAAATTACAAAGCAACGAACCGGAACGGGAACCTCCGAGACGGATGCATTGGGCTGGATTTTAAAATCCTCGGCACCACATTCGCTGTTAAGGGGCATTGCCTTGGTGTTGCCTTGTAACGCCATTGAGAAGTCCTGGGTATCGGTTTTGTGCACAAGGTACGTCGGCTGTTGCGGTTTCTGCGGCCCTGGTTGCAGCTGTGCGCTCGCTGCGTCGTGCATCGCGCTCCTGCGTTACTGAGCCACGGCCCAACTGGCCTCAGG